ATGTACGAGAAATAAAGATAAATGAAAAAAAATTGTCAGAGAAGTGAATAATAAATTTTAAGTCAATACAGGGTATAAGTTTTTAAGTGTAATCTGGAAAATAAAATTTAGACTTATTTATTACAAAATGTATAATGCTGTATTATATACAAAATATATGTAAAAAAAATTAGATTATAATATACAAATACCTAACTACAATTATTCTTATCACAATCTCTCGTTGATAAGTTATTTTTTTAAAACCAATTCATTCACCTGATGCTATTGATTGAGCAGCATTAACTAAAGTGTCATGAACTTCGCGGGCATATGCAACCTGAGCTCTTACAGTCATCAAGAATTGAGGATATGTTAAAGCAGGTCCTTCTTGAGCTCCAACAGTGTCTGTACGTGTTGGTATGACAGATACTGGGAAATACCTTAGAGAACTAGAATTTTGAGATAAGCATTCTATAGAAGTCTTTAAATGCAATTCTATTTGGTCGCAGATTGAATAAAACTCTTCCATGTTCTTATTAAATCTATGATCAGGCTGATCTATACTCTTCAAAGATCCAACATCTACCAAACTGTTTTGGTGCAATGTTTGTGCTGCAGTTTTAAGAGCTATAGCCAATGATTCTCTTAATGGGCCGATCAGTGACTTCACTTTGGAGATATTGTCAAGCTTCTCTTGAGTCTGTTGCTGCTGCTGCTGCTGCTGTTGCTGAACTTGTGGTTGCTGTGGCTGCTGTGGATTTTGAGCCATTTGAGGATTTACAGGCTGTGTCATCTGGCCTACACCAATTGCTCCCGGTTGTTGTATTGCAGGAATGTTCATGGTGATCTTGTTAACATAAGAATTTAAAATAGTCAGCGTATTATGCATAAAAATCATTTCTATTGATGCACGTAACTTAAAAACTTACTACAGCGCGATGTGTTGCAGAACTTTGGTTAGAAAGTCACTGACACACTGACACACACAATCGCTAGGAATCTGAAGTTAGTTCCTTATGCCATCTCTGCCACAGAATTACTGGCCCTCTATATCATGACAAAACAATGGAATATACCGGTTAACGCACTCACGTCTTAATTTGAATCTGTCGTTCATTTGTTTACTGTCGTAAAAACAGCGAAACCAATATTTATAGCAGAGCTATATAGATTTAGTTGAGTTTGATTGAGTTCAACATGTATATAAAG